AAATCACAGTAAATGAATCACAGTACATAAGAAGATAAATATCGAAGTCAATGGTTCTCGAACATCTGTAACATACAAGGGATTAGTAACAAGAGAGGGGACACAACAATATGCACAATAAATAAATTAATAATATGTACAGTAAATAAATCACAGTATAGAAATCTCAATAAATAAATCACAGTAAATGAATCACAGTACATAAGAAGATAAATATCGAAGTTAATGGTTCTCGAACATCTGTAACATACAAGGGATTAGTAACAAGAGAGGGGACACAACAATATGCACAGTAAATAGATTAATAATATGCACAGTAAATAAATTAACAATATGCACAGTCAATATCAAGTTCCTTTATACGGTGGTTGTCGAATGCCTGCAACACAGAATGGGTTAGTAACAAAAGAAAGGACGAGTACGAGACGCGCGCCCACCCTCCACGACGGCTCATGAGAAAGTGAGGAAGCTAACGCCGTTATGTATTGGGTGTACGTAGGTTATTACGCAACAGCTAGTTTTTTTATTACGTTTGTTCGAGTTGAATTGTTTTTGCCGGCTTGAACGACCTTCCTCCTTGAACGACCCAAACACCAGATGTTACGGCCAGGTACGCAAAATCACTAGCGCGTTGGACCGATGGAGAGCACCGATATCGCGACACGCTCTACCGTACTCTCTCGCTCGCACACCTCCCCCCATAGACCACCGAAATTCTTCGGCACGCTTCAACACCGACGGAGAGCACCGATACAGCGGCTCGCTCTATCGCTCTCGCTCGCACGCCGTGACGTCACCCGATTCCCGGAATCCCGCGGCTACGAGATGGCTCATTACGGTAAGGCATTCCCGCAAGGGAAATTGTAAGGGGAATTGTACATCTATTCTGAATTTATCTGTTACAAATATACAAATGTAAAGCAAGATATAAAAACGAATAAAACAAGAACATGTAAAAAGTAACATTAGTAAAATGTCCATTAACGATGACGATACATTTAGAATAAATTGTCTTGTAGTTAAGTGAAAAAATATATACTTTTCCGTTTCATGTTTCATGATTGTCATATTTATCCCTTAACCTTAAACTGTAGCATCGGATATTTTTATTCTCGTGAAATCATATAGATACACGTAATATGAATGGAATATATAACACTTCATTTGTGCTAATAATACTCAGAATTCATGCTTTATCGGTAACGTCGGGTATTGACATTAAAATGGTAACAGGGCTACGTAGCCCTATGAACGTGGGACAGAAAAAAACATTGGATGATAGGTCTATTCTATACCTAGTCGGTGGTATCACTCGTATAGATTAATAATCATTTATGTTTCTTTTTATTCAAAACACATAGAAGCAACCTGATCTTGTGTCGGCCACGCGAAAATGGTGCCTTTATATTAAGTAGTATTATGTATAGGTAGTGTTTAAAGCAATTGTTATTAAATTTATACAAATACCACTGTAGATTGTATATTTTTTATCCACTCCTATTTCTAATATCAATTAACCCAAAAAGTAATAAGAAATAATAAATAATAACAAAATAATTAATTTTAAAACTTTTACAACAGCGCGGGAAAAATTGAGATTAATGGACATTTTGTGGCGCCTCCACCACTTGGTGGCGGATATTGGAACTATTGAAGAAGTTCTGGGATTAGTTCCAATTTTCGCCACCAAAGTGGTGAGGGCGCCACAAGATGTCCCATAAATTCCTTTTCCCGCCCTTTTGCAAATTTAAATTTCGCGTTAAATTGAACTTAAAATTTATTTTAATGCAATTTTAAGTACGTTTACCAATTACTAGTCATATATTTATGGAAAATATGGGATAGTCGTAGTGATAGGCTTAATAAACGACACAGATGTACCACTTAACTGTTTTTTATTGAAAAAATCTGATGAAAATACACAATTTACAATAGTATTTGAATAAATTTCACAACAATTGCCTTAAATACTACTTATACACGAGTTTACAATATATTTGTAACAATATGCGTATTAATTCAGTGAAAAATGTAAATCTTCTGTAACTTGTAAATCTTCCATACGATGTTCAAAGCTTCATATGGAATAGTTTCATAGATTTGTTGTCGAAATTTTCATTCTTGGGGACATATGGTTTTTGAATACCGTCTTTTGAAAGGTTTTCACCACCTTCCAATTCACCATCTAGAAAAAAAAACGATCAGAAATATTTATAGTGTAACTGTTCAGAAGAAATTCCTATGGAATAATCCACAATGAAAAGTATTAACACTGTATTGCTCATTACGAGCACTTTGGGGTGAATTAGTGCGTTTACCGTTCATACTAAAAAATGTATAGACTTCGTTTCGTTATCGTTATCACTGGTTCGGAAGTCAATGGTATCTGATCGTAACAGTGCATGCTCGCGTGCCGATTAATTTATTTATCAATTGCACATGCACATTCACAAACGCACCTTAATAAACTGGTTCTCTCGAGCTCGTCTTAAAACGGAAACGCCAGTCAATTTCATGATTACCGCTTTCTAAGTTGCAATGAGCATCCACCTAGTATTCAGAAGCTGCGATCTACTTTTCGCTCATAACATATTCATTGGGGTCCAGTTTTTGCAGAATGATGCTTGGAACGCCGTGTAATCACGTACAATACAAATTACAGTTGCACACTTTTCCAGTCAGTGTTGTTAGGAAGATTGTTTAACCTTTCATTAATGATTTTTCCTTCGTTGATCAAGACAGTCACTTTCAGTCAGGTGATTTCGCAATCCTTAGTATTGGCAGAAAAACTCGGATAATAACCCCAACGCAAATGTCAAATGAAATTCAGGTATGAAAACATCAGAAGTGTCCCCGACACTTAACACGAAACACGAATATACATTCAGTGCGTTGACAGAAAAAGAACCACCTACACGTAGTGATGGGTAACTGAGCAGTTCGAGCTACTCGAACGAACTCGGGTGACCCGTTTGTGACCTCAGCGGAGACCCGAGGCTCTGGTACGCAAAGGCGAAGGATGTTGTCTGGCCGCCGGCAACCGACCCTCGGGTTACAATGTAACACACGGAACAAATCACCCATGAAAGAAAATTTAAACTTTTACTCCTTTCAGTGTACTTTCTTAAAAATGTTATGAATAAATGTAGGAGATTCTCTTGATGAAAATAAGTCCAAACCCGACATAAATCGGACTATATTTAATAACATATAAGTTACTTTTTTACGGAAGAAATGTCAAACAAGTCGGTTTTTCATTGTTCCAAGTACGACGCACCACACCAAAAAAATCTGAAAAATTGCAAGGAAAACAATTTTTATTCGTACGTTATGTTGCGATACGAATTCTATGTTATTAAATATAGTCCGATTCATGTCGTGTTTGGACTTATTTTCATCAATAGAATCTCTTACATTTATTCATAACATTTTTAAGAAAGTACACTGAAAGGAGTAAAAGTTTCAATTTTTCATCCTTCGCCTTCGCGTGCCAGAGCCTCGGGTCTCCGCTGAGATCATAAACCTATCACCCGAGCTCCTTCGAGTAGCTCGAACTGCTCGGTTACCCATCACTATCTACACGCACATCGACAAACAGTGCATGCGATGTGTTGCAAGAACATCGCCAGTGTTCCGTCTAGTCGTAAAACTTCGCTATCAGGAGCGAAACCTCTTATCAGCGTGTGTCGGTGATGTATAAACATACGAAGAGTGACTCCGTTGATGTAGTACTAGTCCAAAGCGACGGTGTAGTGTTCCCGGTGTACGTGGGCAGAGGGATCGTTTTGTTTCTGTTCTCTCTCGCATTGTCGGCACCAGTAGTTAGTTAACGGCGGACGTCGGCGATGTCATCTTCAAAGTTGAACGAAGAGTAAGTAATACTTACGATCTCTTTAAGCAAGTCACCTCGAGCGACTTCAACGCTACAAATTGTCCGAGGTTTCATAAACCGGCGCCGATCCCGGTTCCGCGATGTCCTGTCTACGCGAATATCGCCGTGAGAGCAGGTCTTGCCAATTAAATTTATGATTCGGTTAAGTGGATCGGTGTTGAAACGTTTCACCGCATCTTGTATTAATTTCCTGTATAATAAATTGGGTACTAGGATAAAACGCTGCGAAACCCTTCAATTAAGGTATCTATACGAAGAATGTTTATCGTATTATTAAACAGATTTTCGATTTTTTATAACCCTCGGTTGTCATACCTATTTTTCCGAACGTAGTTGTTATACTGAGTCGATTTAACGCAAAGCAATTTTCAATCAGCTGCTGCTTAAAAATGTCTGTTAAATTAAGTGGCAACATTTCTTAGATAGTGTTTGAACATTGTAGAATATATTTGTAGCAGACCTTTACAGTTTCGGCGTTCCCTTGCATTTTTGCCTACCAGGCTATAACATCTGCATGGCAGAGGTTCAGGGTAGGTTCGAATTACGTCGCCGTCTTCCCAAGTGCTTGAAGGAGAACTTTCTCATTTTCGGGAAAGTTCTGGGAAAACGAGACATGTGTTTTCTCGTGTAACCATGGGAAGACGGTGGAAACGGACAGTTTTGGGCAGAATATCGTCAACCGCCGAACTGTTAACAACGTCTGATACCTCATAGTTTCATTACTTTTGTATTGCTTATTTTTATCAACTGTTTGGTTTTGTTATAGTTTCGTTATTGTTTGTGATTGTTTAGTTCTTGTTTTTGTTCGAATAAAAACTTTATTCATGTTAGTTGGTGCACATTTACTTTAAAGACACACCCGTGGCTATCCTAAATATTTTTATTGTAAAAAATTAACATTTAAGATATCATTGTTACGAGCCCGGGCTGTAGCAACGCGAAAGGCCGGCGAGTGTAGGTTTTGATGAATGTGACGCGAAACCAGAGAGCCGCTAGAATGTTTGAAAGCGAGTACGAACTTGATGCAAAGTCAGGGAGTCTCTAGGGATGGAGTCATTTGCGGACGAACCTGGTGCGAAATCAGGGAGCCGCAGGAAGGTGAAACTCATAAACGAACCCGATGCGAAATCGGTGAGTCACTAGGATGTGAGACGAACTCAGCACGTAGCTGAGGAGCTGCGAGAAGGGTGGAAAGTCTGTACAGACAAACATGATTCAAAATCAGAGAGCCGCAGAATTGGTCAAGCTTGAAGAACAAAAAGAAAGAGAGAACCAAAAAAATTTTTCGTCATGTACAAACAAGGCCCACCGTAGTCACCATTTGTATTATACAACTCATACCAAGCATTCATTTGTTACAAATTATTTCATATTTTAATTTGTCTAAATTATTACAAATTATTATTTTTACCATTTATACACTTATACAGTATTGGAACGAGTAAAATAAATAAAACTAAGAAGGTTTAATACACTTTTTTGCTTCAGCTTGTTATCTATCAGATCTTTCGATGAAAGAAGTAATTCTGCAATTAGTTCCATGTCTTACACAACAGAGATAAAAATATAAATGCGCATAAACATGTACAGTTTAGTTATGAATTCATTTAGTAATGCAGGATCAGAGATAATAGAATTATGCAGAAACAGGATAATAAATTTATTAAACACTTTAACTTTGAAATTCACGAATAGAATATGAAACACTATAATTAAATATATTAATATAGTTCGTCAAAATTACGTCGTCCGTGTTTTCTATACCGTCCGTCTCTATTGCTAGAAAAACACTACTCACAAAATGATCGGCATTGACATAATCCATTCTATTCTCTCTCGCACTCACAACCAAATTATTCTCTCTCAGTCTCTCTCACAGATGCAACAAACTACCTCTTGTTATAAACAACTCAACTCTTCACGGCGGCAATGAGCACAAAACGACACGACGTTCGCAGTGAATACAAAACAATCAATATCACATATACATATATAAAATTATCCTACAGTAATTAACGGAAAACTATCCACACGTAGCAAACCATTATCAAAACCCTTCTTCGCAAAAACACAGGATTCTTTTCGTATTCTGTGACCATTTTTTGAACGTTTCTATTTTCGTCCACGATACGCAAAGAATATCATTTTCGCGCGAACCCTTTCATTAGTTCATCCGGTCGAAAAACAATGTGAAAGCCAATTGAACTCATTTAAGCTCTAGACGTCTATTATGTAAGAGTCGGGGAGAAGGCTAGCTGCTGTCATTGTCTTTCGTGACGATGAGCCATTTTTGTGGCGTATTGGCGTGCGCTATTGTCTGGAATGAATGCGTCGCGTCTGAAGAGTGCAGTAAATGTGAAAGACCCGTCTATTGGTGTATACCAACGCTAATATTCTTTTAACATTAGTATTAGTCATCTGCGTATTTTCCGATAATTATCCCAAAAATCCAGCAAATCAGTCCCGACAGTAAACATCCCAAATTCCTACTTTCTATGATCTCATCCTTCCCTTCTTACTCATCTTCGAACTTCGCCCTCAATGTCTCATCCCTTAGTGACTGCTAGACTCAAGATATCCCCCACTTTCCAAATTACCGAACCTATATCTTACACGCATCTCTCTCAAAACCCAGCATTACTCTCTGAACACTCTCTGCATAACCGTCTAGAAGCGACTTAAGGAGTACTATTGTACGCGCAAACGTATTAGTCTAAGTTTCCGTAATTGTGTGAAGTTCTTATTAAATGAAATAAATCGGTGCTTAAGAACCGATCCCACTAGTAGAGTACATAAAAAAATCACATAACCAACACATACATATATGGTTGTCATTTTCAGAAACGTCGAAAAGACGAGTTACGACGAGACGTGGAACGACGACGAATCGGATGACAGTATAGAATATGTCTGGGAAGACATAGAAGATCTCAGTTTAGAGTAAGTCCTCTATACTTTTCCTTATTTTTATTTGTAGCGTGCTTGCAATCTTGATACGAGCGGAAAGAGATGCGAGATGCTTTATCGATACGACATTTCTCGATGTGTGAACAAGGTGTTCTGATAAGAAGAAAGTTATCTAAATCCGTACGAATGATGTAATATAGTCTACATAGTGATTAGAAAGGGGGGGGCTGGGTGCTATTGAGTTGATGGCAATGGTCGTTTAAACATGTTAAGACAATTGTCGTTCCTGCTATAATTGCAACAACATAGCAGGAAATTTTATAAAAATACACGTGTGGTATCCCAAATACCACAAAAACCGTCTGTATACGTCCGGAGAATGTACGTTCCGGACGTTCGGTACAGTCGGAAGATGTCCCGAAAAGGTCCACGTGTCGCCCCTACGTCCTCGTTAAGTTCTTTAAATGTCCTAGGAAGGTCCTATTTACAAAGTGGAACGTCCTCAAGACGTCCTGTGTCAACATTCTTACAGTTAGAACGTTTTCCGAATGTGTAAAAGTAACAGTACTTTTTAGGAACGTTTAAAGTTTTTAAAAACGCTATGGTAATGTCTTAAAAGGCGTATAAGGAACGTTTCCCAAATGTTTGAAATGTGCAAGGTGATAGGAGTTAGGTTTGATTGGTTTGTGTTTAATAAATGTAAGAAAACTATAGTTCGGAGGAACTGTCATTTGCGGCTAGTACTAGTTTGAGAAAGTCCGGCAAGAGAGATGCTGCTCTAATGGTCCACACTGTTACAGCAGATACTGCAAAGAGAGCAATTAGATTGAAAAAAACACTGGCAGCAACTTCATCAGCTCCAATTAAATATACGCCGGAAGAAGCTTTGGCTTCATATGTAGATGGACATTTTACAAAACACACATTTAATCCGATGAAATCTGGAGCCAAAGCACGCAACTATGATATTTATCCATCGTATAATGTAATATAAAAAGCAAAACGAGCTTGCTATCCTAACAAGGAAAATTACTTTTTCAGCGATAGCAGCTGAAGTAAAATTGGAAGCACTCGTAAATCATACGTCGGCAAGACTTGTAATGAGCCAAGAAGAGGTATTAAAAGAAGTAGATTTACCACAGGATCTTACTCGAATTTATAAATGGGGTTGTGACGGAAGTGCAGGTCAATTAACATACAAGTAAACATTCGATGGAGAAAGCAGCAAACCGCGGACTGATTCGTACCTATTCGTTGTGTGCCTTGTGCCGTTAAGATTGCAGATACATGACAATCAAATTTTGTGGAACAATCTACGGTCTTCATCAACAAGATTCTGCTATCCAATTAAAATATTGTTTTAGAAAGAGACCACCGAGCTTATTAAAAGATAAATAAAATATGTTGAGAATCAAATAAAAGAAATTGTAGAAACAACAGTTTCTGTTGGCGATCGAGACATATGTATTAAGCACAGTTTTCAGTTGACCATGATAGATGGCAAAGTTTTTGCAGCTATTACTGAGTCATCTCCGCAAACTTGTGGTATATGTAGAGCCACACCCAAAATAATGAACAACTTAGATGAAGTTACGAAACGAGTACCAAACATGGAACAGTACAATTATGGATTATCCACATTACACACATGGATAAGATGTTTCGAAACATTACTACATATATCTTATCGCTTGACGGTTCAGAAATGGAAAATTAGAGATAACACGGATAAAATTGCAGTAAACAACAGAAAACACACCATTCAAGAAAATTTTATAAGTCAAGTGGGGTTACTGGTCGACATACCAAATTCTGATTTCGGAACCACCAACGATGGAAATTCTACCAGGCGATTTTTTTAGAAATTCCTTAGTAACTATAGGTTTATTTGGACAACTTTATACAAGAAGAAAAGATCTGATTTACTTTGCATCCACTGAAGTTCAAGAAAAAAAACTCATGTTTCTAGCTTAGATTATCTAATGTTAAAATAAGTATGAGGCAAAAGTTTGTCCAAATGTAACAGATTGTTTTACAGTTAATTTAAAGAAAGCACTGTAAGGAACCTTTTAAAATAATTGGTATTACACTTGGCTTTGTGATTTTCATATGTATACTGCGATCATTGATGCATTATTTGCAAGAGTGTGAGCAGAAAGACTCTATAAAGACAGAATATTCTTTTCAGATGATTTGACTAAAGCCTGTGAAAAATGTAGAAAGGCAGAAAGTGAGTCAGAAGTGGCAACAGAATGGGAAGGAGAGCCAGGAGATTCAAGAAGAAAGAGGAAAATCAAAAAAATTATTTATGATAGTGATGATTCTGAGAATGATGAACAACAGGTGCAAATGAAATATCCTGTCCTTCCAAAAAAAAAACTTTGTGTTACTGATATTTAAATAAGTTTCAACTATACCGTTTTATAATGTTAGATTTACAAGTTCTCATAATTCTTTTTGTAATAGATACTCGAACACCCAAATCTCACTTTAGAACCTTTACCCCCAAAAGTTTTGTTCGACCAGTGTATTGGTAAGTGCCAGTCATTAACCAAAAATAATAAGAAATTAAACATATCTTTTATTCACTGATTTCCAAAACTATATGTTTTCGTTTGTTTTTCGTGTTGTAAAATTAACTTTCATGTGTTATTTTTTAAATTTTCCTGAAACACAATCATCCAACAGATCACCTGTGAAGTTCGTTATACCAAATATTAGTAAATATATGTATTGTCGAATACTATTGTGCTTTTCTATTTTGCTAGTATCTTTTTTACTTTAGGTAATTTGTAAATATATATGTGTATACAGTTTTTAATGTTCTGAATACACAATACATTATGTTATAGATTCTTTTTAGTAAATATGTGTCTATCTCATACCAACAAATCCATTGCAGGAGCAAGTTGCCTTATGCAAAGTGAACTAAATAATTATTTATGAAAACTGTTGTTACATGTATATTAGCTGAAAATAAAATACTTTTATAATACACATATAAATTGGACTTCATTTCAAGTCAACTACTAACATGTGAAAGAAATAATATTAAAATTTTTATGCATTACAGCAGAACTACTCATTTCTGCATACATCTTTTGTTTTGTCATCAGAAAATTGATCATGATCTTGTACTTCTTTGGAGCTCTTAATAGCGTTGAAAACAGGATGGTGGACAAAAAGAGCGTAAGATGGACTTACACCACTATCATTCTAAACGATTTGTTCTTCTTCTTCAGTGACAAAGTACTGCCATTTTTCGGTAAAGTAGTTTTTTACCCGAAGCTGAGCCTTTGCTTACTTCTGTTTACTCCGTTTTGATTGATTCAAGAGTCCCCCCCCTCCCCCCAGTGGTGGAAATAACGCCGTTGCTCGTGTCGCATTCATCGAGGAACCACGGTACCTAGTATTGAAATGTTTTAAATTTGGACTTACACCAGTATGATTCTCAATCCGCCATTTATCGTAGTTGTACTTCGCTCGTCTGAAAATCATTTCGCTGTCCCGTTTTCTCTTCCGAGAGCGTGATAAACATACGTTTATGCGGAGAAGAAAGTCAACGGTATCATTTGAATAAATTTCCATCGGAAGCCCATCAATCCGCCAGTATCGTGCATAATAAACTCTTATAACACCGCTCGCGCATTAACGGTATTGATCGCACTTCGGAACACCGTATCAGAATGAGGTAGCACGAGATCCCGGTGGCCTGTTACAAAAGCGGAACCGTACTTTTTTCGCCAGTCCAATTTAGTCGTGGGAACGTGTAACGGTGTCTGAAACGACGAAATTGCCGAACGGTAGGTGACGGTTTCTACGGAAAACTGCGATCGTTAATGGGCCGCGCAGTCGCGGATTGGATATGTAAAAACGATCTACGGCTCAAAAAGCCGGTTCCCGGGGTACCTGTACAGAATTCCATAGGAAAGCAAGAGCGTAAAGGAATCCCGTAATCGATTTCCCGAAGACAGGCCATGTGTCCTCGGCACTTTTTCGCGAAAATGAAACTTATCTTCTTTACCGGGGCAGATTATCGTTCGTCATCCGACGTGCCGATTTCACGCCAGTGATAACTCGTTTTCGATGAGTAATGGGGATTGAGAAATAGTCGCCTGTCGAGCGGAAAATCGGTCGTTCGCGATCTCCTAATCCTAATCGAAGTGTCTCATCTTAGAGTGTTTATATTAACGCGTGAAATTGAAGGCTTGTCCTGTTGGAATGCGTCTGGAATAATTTCAATTGATTTTCACTTTGGATGCGTGAGGTTTTGATCCCTTTACGTTTCGAACGATTAGTTCTGCGGAAACTGTTCGGTTGGGTAGAATAGAGTATAGGGTCAGAATTGTTTCATTTTTTTTATTATTCATGACATGTAATGATGGGCAAACGTTGCTTTTCGTAATGGTATTTAAAGTGACGAAATTTGAATTTGATCAACAAGTTTTTTGAGGTATCTCGAACTACTAAAAAATTATTAATTTTATTGATTTCATGAGTTTTTCGTGATTTTTTGAGTAATCTGCAGTAATTTACTGTTTGTTTTCACCAGATAATTTATTAGAAATTTGTAACAGTCTCTCCGTAACTAATTCCATTAAAAAGGAAACATTTTTTACCTAAAGACCGTACAATTATTAGCAGATATAAAACTTAAAAATACTACCTATCTTTAAAAACAACGAAAAATAAAAATTCGAAGACCTTGCAACACTTCAAAAAGTTTTGTAGACAGAAACTAACTTTTTTAAGCTTAGACTGGCGGTCTAAAGGCAAGTTATTTTCACTATTAGAAAAAAAATCACACAATTTTAATTTTTTTGTTCCACCTTACAATTCAGTCGAGGTTTAGGATAAATAAGTACATTACGACATTTGCAAGGATGAAGTAATTTAATAACCTGTTTAAAATTTTTATATACATGTATTCATTATCTATTTAGGATTTTTATTATTCTGTACGCTAATAGGATAAATATACCTTTTCCTTAGAATGAGACTCGCGATAAAGTATGTCTGTCGTTATAAATTGT